TCTGCATCAAGAAATCTGAGCATGGAGATATTACTGTAAACCACAAGCACCTTAAATGCTTATGGACCAGACTCGTTATGGGTGTTGGGCTTTGACAACAGTACCTACTGCTACTTATAGCAACCACAATTCCTTTTTTTTTTTTTTTTTAACATATGAAAATGCAAATTGAAGTTCAAAATAAATTAACAGTATATCTTAGTCGAGGCTAAGTCAGCGTCACATCTTAAACGTTGCCAGCAGCACCATGCTGTAATGCAAAATGGATGCTATGCCTGTTTGTTTGCATCTCTTAAAAAGCATCTAGGTGAAACCAAGGATTCTGCAAAACACAGAAAATGTGTATCTTGGGACATGGAAGAGTTTTTATGTTCTTAATTTGCTAATGAACTCAGGTGACTAGGCATTCAAGCAGGTTGAGAGGGGCCGGATATAGGTCATGTTATTAAATAATTTTTAAAAAGGAAAAAAAAAAAAAATCAATGCTGCCTTTGTGCTTAAGCAGAAAAATGTGAGTTTCTAAGAGAAGAAACAAACTGAGTAAAATCCTTTAGAAATTCCCCCCAGGGCTTTCTACGTACATTGTAGCAGAGTTTAAAAAAAAAAAAAAAAAAAAGGAAAAAAGAAAAGACAAAGCCTAGCAGGCATTTCCACCCCCTTTTTCAGGTCATTCTGAAAGGCTGGCAAAACAGCCTCCTTCCCTTAGCCCCCAAAGGGGCTAAGACACTTCAGCAAGAGTTTTCCATACTGCACAGCACAAAACAAAGCAACTACAGCAGAGAGATGCAAAGCAGTGTAGGCATAGCACTAAATAAACTAACAACAAAAAGCCACAAAATAGTAATCTGTGCTATTCAAAGGCAAAAACTACACAATATTAAACCCTGTACAATTTTCCCCTTCAACAAAGCACTTGTGCTACACAAAAGGCCTGACATGGACCAGACCTTCCAGGCTCAGGTAAACAACAGCATGTTAACGACACTAATACTTTTCCTGTATTTGAGCTAGGCTCCCCTTGCTTCAAGGGTTGTATGTTAATGCTCAACTAAGAGCGACGACACTGGGACTTCCACAGTTGACAGATACAGTGAGATTTTTAGTGCTGTGCTTTGTAAACCTTGTCATCAGGCCTTGCTGCACTGAGGGCAGCAGTTGTCTGGCACCACCCTGATGTTAGAGCTTTCACCGAGGCAAGGGATCTTCAGGGGACTGAAGAAAAATTTTCTACAACACAATCACATTTTGCAACAGTCCTCAGAGCCTGAAATTCTACAAAGCAAAGTGGAAAAAAGAAACAAAAAACCCCCAATGCCTTTCAGGGCTTCTTTGTACATTGTGGTAAAACTAGAAAACAGATTAAAAACTAGAGATTTTCCTCCTCCCCAAATGCCTCCTCGCGATCACCTTAAAAATTACTAGGTCAGAAGGTAGAATTCAGCTCCCAACAGCACGGCGCTGGATATTCCTTCATTTCATTCCAACAGCTGCATTTGGAACATACTTAGCAGAAGCTATTACCACTCACTGCGCTGAAAGGGTAACAATCAACACTGTATTACGAGGATTCCTGCTATAAAAGACCTTTTACATCTTGGCCTTTTATGAATCCTGCAGTGTCTCTACATTCTGGTTTTTCATCTCTCCTGTGCATGCCGTTTCCAAGTCACACAAATGCCACCCTGCTTGACAAAGCTGTAGCCAGTGCCATTTGACAGTATGCAGGCAAACACACACATTTTCAGTGCATCCTTCTACCGTTCTGGCAAATTTGTGGTTTAGACTTGGGTGATATGGAAATGACATAATTATTCCAATAGACAGGCACGGCGACTGAGAACATCTGTGCTCACTGCTAACAACCTGCCATTAGGTACTGCTGACTCACCTGCCTTGCACAGATGGAGGCAGATCTTTAAACTGGCTTCACTCATGCCATTCGCTTTCCCAGAGGGTCATGTTAGGCAACCACTCTTAATGGTGTGCACCGAAACACTGCTGAAAGCACTTCTGCTCTCCCATTTCTCCTTAATTACTGCAGATGATATTAAGACATGGGTTACACCACCTACTAATCAACGCGTTCAGAGTCTTGTCAGCACAGCACAGGTAGTGCTATGTCCTGGGGACAGGAGACAGCTAGGGTGTCATTGTCTCACCTCCCCTAGGCAGGCACTGGCAGTAGGAAGAAAAGCACAGACAGCTGGCAGAAGAGTGTGCTCTTCAGTAATGGAAGCACATTCTTGTGAAGTCTGAGTCCTGCTGCATTAATCATGTTATGAAATTAGAATTTGTAATGAGGGGGTGGGGGAAGCAGTAGTTTCCCTTTCAGTTGTTGGGAAGCTATTCTTTCTTCTTGCCTTCAGACTGTGCTTGTGTATCTCAGCCTCTGTGAAAAACAGCAAGTCATCTTGGCTGGGATCTAAGGGGAGACCTCATCGCTCTCTACAACTACCTGAAAGGGGGGTGTAGTGAGGTGGGGGTCGGTCTCTTCTCCCAAGTAACAAGTTGATAGGATGAGAGGAAATAGCCTCAAGTTGCACCAGGGGAGGTTTAGATTGGACATTAGGAAAAAATTTCTTTACAGAGAGTGGTCAAACATTGGAACAGGCTGCCCAGGGAAGTGGTGGAGTCACCATCCCTGGAGGTGTTCAAAAAACGTGTAGATACAGCACTTGTAGACACGGTTTAGTGGGGATGGTGGTATCAGGTCAACGGTTAGACTTGATGACCTCAGAGGTCTATTCCAACATAACAAATGATTTTATGATTACATTTCTTTTCATAGATGCCACATAGCTGCATCTCCAAAATGATCATTTCTGGAGAAATAGCCTGGCATTTATTTGAAAGTAAATGGACACATGCTCTTAGTCAAATGCACGTACTCCACAACAGTGGAAACTTGTTAGGGGCCTCACCACATATATAAAGGCAAATTTAAGCAAAATACTAAGTGGGATATAAATTGGCCACAAATACACTTCCACAGAAAATTATGTCCCCAGAACTCGTAGTGGGAGGTCTGAAACAGTCTTCCAGAAAGCTAAAGACTTCAGTAGTTGCAAACACTGCATGACTTATTTTAGAACATGAGTATGAGTCTTCACGGTATTGAGAAAGTTTGATGTGCCCAGAGGTCTTTTTCACATACGAATTATTTGGTTGGGTTTTTTTTCTCCCTTTGCTCCAATTAGAAACAGAAGTGGGGGGGATTTCGTTGAAGACTGTACCAACTATTTAAAAGATTGTTTTATGGTTAAAGTATGGGGTTGGGTGACCTGTGCTGTACCTTCTCCTCAGCCACTTCTTTCCTGCATGAACTTGGGCAAGTCACAAACAATTTACACTGACTGCCACTCAGCAAGCCTCAGCTGGCTTCCTTCAGTTTACCCAGTTCATATAAACTGTATGGACTATCTTAACATTCTCGAACCATTGTACAACAGAGACTTCACCCATGCTAAATAAAGATAAAGTGGTTAAATATTTATATGTTGCTGCTTTTTGTAGTTTAACATTTAGATCAGAAGTCATTCCTCAACATCCCTCCTCTGAAAAAAGCAGAGGATGTCATGGGACCCAATGTCTTGACAACTTGTTCCTTTCAAGTAGTTTTGACAGAAGTGGGACTACCTATTCATCCAGCTCCGCTTCGTGCACATACTCCAGAAGTAATGCCTTCAGTGGTTGTCACCATGCTGCTCTTCTCAGCCTGGCCCCAGGGAGAGGCTGTCTGTATGCTGGTCACAGCAGCACCTGCACCTGCTTTCGGGAGAAGCAAGGCTGCGTTGTGCTCGGACAAGCTGCAGCAGAAGCAGCGCCTGAATTCACATTAGATTTCCCTGCAGGACAGGGCTCCCCTACAGTCCCCAAAGGGCACCTACCTGCTCCCTCTTCAGAAAGTCCTCTCCCGCTGTTTTTGCAAGGTCAGGGACAGCTTGGGACGTAGTTGCTTGTGCTGCAATTGTAACTGAGCACTACACATGCATTGTAAAGCACTCCTGGCGCTGCTTGGGTTGGAGCAAACGGAAACTTTTGAGCCACCTCTGGTACAGGTGACAGAGGGAACATCAAAAACACCTACCTTTAATTCCTGGTCTCAAAGTAAACTGTAAACTGTTTTTTGGTTGTTTTTTTTTTTTTTTTTTTAAAAAAATTACCACAGAACTAAACCGAACCAGTTCTCGTGTCCTCTTTCAGAGACTGACAAGATCATACTTAAGTGACTGACCAAAAGTTGCCGTTGGAAGTGAAATAACTATTAGCCACTGGTTAAGCTACTGAAGAACCAGAAGACAAGGGCCACTCTCTTCACTTCCTCTCAAAATCCATTAGCACCAACCTCAATCGATTCCCTTGTGTTGAACTGTCCTCAAGCTATATGACTTACCCAGTCCTTCCACATTTCCTTCTGTCCCTGACAGCAGCTCTTGTTTCCATCTACCATTCCTCATCCTCCCCTCCTTCAGGGGTCCCGAAAACACCTGCACCATAAGCAACCACTTGGGCTTTGAACTCCTTTTTCAAAAGGCATGGGGACATAACAACGTTTTAGGAAATGGATCTGCTGTTTCCATGTAGGTTACCAAACACTGAAACTGCAACCATCAGAATGAGCTTGAACTGTCCCTTCTTGGGAAGGGAATGGTCATAGGGGAGGAGATACGGAGTGCACTGCCAACGCAGAGTTGTCCCTGGGGAACGTTAGCCAACTTGCCCCTAATAGCTCAGGGAAATCAGTAATTTTTGCAGAGAAAGAACTAATGTTGCTCCATAGCCAAGTACTTCCATATTGCTCAACGACTCACCGAAAGTGAGAAGTAACAAACATCACTAAACGTTGGCATCATTAGTTTATATTGATGTTTCAAGACAGTGAATTCAAGACTACCCACAGCGTGGCAACAGACTTTACTCCAGATCATGATGAGTGAAGGTTGAATCCAAACTCAACTTACAGCTTTGTTAGGACTTGAGTCTACAACAACCAACTTACATCACGTTGAAGATAGATATTTAAAGGAGGTTTATTGGGGCTAATACTAAATTCAAACAGCCACAAGTTCATTTTCCACGTTTATCACACCAACTGTTGACAGATGAAGTCTCAGTGGAAAGTCCAAATTTTCATTTCACTGTGACTTCCTGAAACGTGACTACATATTTCAGTATTTGGCATTTATCTTCAGAGAGATATCATGTTTAAGAACATTCTACCAAATACATTTAGATCATGACTCAAAACCAAAACAATTTGGAAGTTTTGAAACATAAAGCTGTTAGTATGAAATTAGCTTTTATTTTTTACCTCAAAATAAATGCACATGTATCATTTATTCAAATGAAAACTGAAAAAGGGTATCTTAAACAAGAGAGAACCTTAACAGAGCAAATATCACAAACATCCTCAAGTTCCTTCTCCTGCTATTGCTCAGCTGTTTGGCTAAAAACACAAGCTTGATTTTTATTACTTTATTTTTGGTCAGTTTGGTCAATTAAAAGAAACACTTGAAAGCCCCAGAATTAGAAGTGGTATAAAACAAAACCAGGTACTCGTTCTCATCAGAATTCAGGCCCATGTGTTGCCACACATTTATATAAAACTTTCACTAAGTGTTGTACTAAATACCATTTAGTAACCTCTTCTGCAGTTTAGCTCTTGATATCTTGGTAAAAGAAGTCAATGCGTAAGCATGTCAGAAGTCAACGCTATAGTGTAACTACCGTATAACTCTAACAGGGCTTCTAAATACTGTTCACCAGAGTGATGTCTTATAGTTGAATTTCAGTTTCAGCAGGTACTTCAGATTTACCTGAGCAACATCATACACAATATATCTGGGAAGAATGTTAAGGGATAATCACAGCAGTGGATAATTAAGAACACAGAAAAACCTCAAAACACAGTCAAACTTCACCTTTGAATTTAAGTTACCATATAGCTGCCTGAATGATTAAGCAGTTTTAACAGCTCAAACCACGAATCTTTAAATTTGACTTTTTGTTGAATCTGAAAGCGTTTTATACAACAGTTAGAAACAAGCAACTAACAGTCATATGGAGAATTAATGATGATGCAGCAGAAACAGTGAGTGACAAGCAGGTGAACTGACTTAGATACAGGGCTGCAGCTCTTGAAGATTTTTTTTTTTGCCAGCCAGAGCCATAGCACAACATCTCTCTTGCTATCTAAACACGTAGCCTGGATGAGATCTGCAACTACAGACCTGGCACCTACAATTATAATCGTAGCTCTATTGCTACCTTCCAGCACAAAGTCTTTAATGTCCTCTTAATTTCTCACTAAAAACTCAAACTGGAATAACAGACAAGAGCTCTACAGTGGTTGCACATCCTATGACTGTAGTGCATCATTTTGTTTTTAAGACTGTCCCAGCTCGCCTATTTGTTTCTCAGTGCTTTAGGCCTCAAACTTACCTCTAATCCCAATTTTAGATAAAAAGCATCCCCATTAAACACTGTAAAACAAAACAAATGCACATCATCTTACCTCAGTGAGCTATTACTGACTGTATAGTATTTTATCATCTGACCAAGACAGATGCTGTATTTAAGAAAACTCAAGATAAAAACAGTATTGCCATGGGTTCAGTTGCCAAGACTGCTTGTAAGAGAAAGAGTTTACCAAGAAAGAAGCCAGTTTCTACACAACCCAGAGGTTGTATTAATGGGTTGCTTGCATCACTGGCAGTGAAGAGATTACTCTGGGACCTTAGACATCACTTATTCTTATGACCTCCTGTGAATGTTGAGCACACATTCATTTGGGGGCACTTCTGCCTATAAAGTGGCTTAACAGCTACACCTCTGACAGACATCTGAGGTTTACCTCAATATTTGCAAAGAGTCTGGGGAACACAAGAAGCTGTGTAATGAGAGACTCCGTCTAGCCACAGAGCTGGCTCCCCCACCTCCTCCTGGCCGAGCTGGCCAGCCACAGCACCACGAGGAAGAAACCAGACTGGAGTGATGTGAAACCACAGGCTGCATTCCCCTCGCCTCGTCCTGGCATGTCTCAGGGCAAGACACTACTGCGTAGTGTCACCTGGCCACTCCAATGCTTTCAGGTATTGAGTCCTGTTGGGGCAACACTAGCTGCTACGTGTACTGTCTCCTTTTTTTGCAGAATGACAATTTTAAGTGTGACAACTGTAAAATCATTGCCCTTGGAGAAGAGACTCTAAATTGTCTGCGAGTAGGCCAAAGCAGATCTAAAAGAAAGGAAACATGGTGTGCAAAACTCCTGAGCAAACTCAGCAACGCTCAAACACAGCATGCAGCCAACATAACAGCAAAGGATACTCATTATACAGAAGACAGGTATCATTAATTCCTGTTGAGATCCCATTCCCTAAGGGAACCTCTACACCACCAAGGGTGGTAGTGGCTGTGGGATCAGGTGCAGTTTTGCCCAAGCCTAGAAAGGGAAAAAACATTAGTTACAACTCTAGAAGGCAAACACAGACTTTGCACATAAAGAAAATGACTCAGCCAGCCAAAATTACTTCACATATACTTCAAATGCTGACCAAGTGCAAAAGTATCTTAAAATAAACACAAAGGATATAGTCTGTTTATTCAAGTCAGCACCATGATACTTATGGTACTCATACTCTGCTACATTAAAAGTGAGAATTTTAGACAAAATTGGCTGTTGTCTCATCTGTATGATCAAAGCTAAAACAGACCAGAATTATAGCTCTCATATCCTAGGTCCATTAATGAAAATATTGCACATCACAGCATTTTCAGAGAAGTACAAACAAACCAATTCTTATTCTCTTTAAACTCTTCAATACAAATCTGATTTGACATCCGTAATAGTGTGAGTAGCATGTATGGAAAAAGATGCTAAATCACATTTTATTCTATTTTAGGCAACTAATCTTTTACGCCTCTCAAAATGAGTAGTTTAAGAAAAGCCACTCATTACTGAATGTGACTGTTCTCCACTCTCCTATCTCAGTACAGAAGATAGTCATGATTACCATTTCTTTTGCTTGAATTAGAGAGCTAAGTCTTTTCTCTCATCTTCTTTTTCAGTGCAATATACTGATACTTTTTGCAGATAGAAATGTAATGAGAACAGCTGTTCAGTTCCAACTGAACTTTTATTCTTAGATTTTCCCTTCTCTCCATGCTTCTAAGGCACTTTGAAAGCTAAACAATTATTCTTCTGATCTATCAGACCTCTCATCTTTCTTCTAAAAGACATTGTATTGTTATGATGAAAGCGAGTAAGAAGTTGGAGAATGCACCTTACATCTTCTCTTGTGTAACATCAAATGAAAGTTTCCTCCTGAACTTCAGGCAACACATTAACTTCAGTCTTAACATTCCAAGTGCACTAACTCCCATCTCAAAACACCACATACACATATACAGAAGCAACTACAGGGTGACATCATGCAAACTCTTAAAGGAAGTACAACTATGGAATGACAATAGTGCTCTCTGCTAAGCAGAGAGCCACAAGGTAAGTTTGCCATCAATAAGAGATTACCAGTGACAACTACTAATGCTTACCTTTCACACTGTGTTTTCCCTTGGGCAATTTTGTTATGTGAGAAGCATTCTTTAGCTCATACCTGGATAGCACAAAGAACACATAATAGCATTCTACATTCATCTTAAACGATCTTTTTTTTTTTCCAGGCTTTACTTTCTGATGATTTAATATAAAGTTAATTTAGATTCTACTTTTCCAGAACTCAATAGCCTTCCTTCTTTGTCTCAGCTACTAATTTTAATAACACTGGCATTTAGCACAAGATTCCAGACCTGCAACACTGATTTTTTTGTCCCACCAAATAGCTTTCATTTTAAAAAAAAAAGAGGAAATCTTGTTTCTAAAGAAATACAAAGCACTCTTTCTTCACACTGAAGAAAAGGCTTGCAATTTTAGCATCGCCTTCTACCATGACCTATTAAGCACGTTCAGCAAACACTCTTCCTAAGTTACTTACATATTTCCAAGGGCAACTTCTCCCAGCAGTATTAAGCCTATGGGATCAGCTTGAGATGTGTGACAGTAGTTGGCACTTTTGGACACCATGTCCGCAAAATAGATGCCCTTCCCAAACATGTAGCCAGTCTGCAGGCAGCAAAAGAGAAAAAAATAAAAACTGGGACAATAACACAAAGGCAGCATTGAATCCACCTGGCTGGGCTCCCGGGAAAGCAAAGCTGCAACTCAAGCTCTTATACATGTCAGTCAGCAACCCATTCTGGACACACAGCATTGTCTGCATGCTGAGAGATAACACTGAGCCCACCCCACATAGAAATTCTCCTATTTAGGTTGTCTCTGACTGTGGCCATCTCTGGGCACAGGGATGGAGGCAGCCAGAGAAGCTACCCGTTTAACGTACCACAGGAGCTTCAGGGGGAGCTATCCGGAGACCCTGCGAGAGGATACCAGCAAAGTTGGTGGTGCGGGAACCGTGCCACAGCAGCTGGCGATTATGAAGCTGCTTAAACGGTTTGTAACGCTGACTCTCTCCTTCACGCTCAATCCTGAAGATCTTCAATTCAAAAAGGCACAGTAGAAAAAGAACAACCAAGTAAATAAACCATTACCTTCATGCAACTAATGAGATTAAAAAAAAATCATCCAGTCTGGAATATACACTAATCTGCTAGGAAAATTGATCGGGATGGTTTCTAGTATTTGCAGTTTGCTATGTCATGCTAGCAAAAAAGAGGTAGCGTTGCTCACACAGTACTTGTTATTGATTACTTCTCCACCTTCCCTTTTGCACTTTCATGAGACCATTAATTTTCTGAAAAAATCACTCAATGAACTAAGGCTCAATTTTAGAAGATTACTCCTCCACCTCCTTTTTGAGGCCAACTAATTAAAACACACCCCCAAAGACACCTCAGTAAGCTTAGACACATCTCAGGCTAGACTTTTGCTGTTGTATCAAACTCTCTCTTCAATGAAGGAAACGAGATAAGCTACTCAAAGGAAACTGCGGACAAGTTGACAAAAGAGTCCATCTTCACAAACTTAAACCCCAGCATTGCCCAGCTTACATCCACAACTTTGAGGTCATATGCGTTGTGAGTAGCAGCGTGAGTATTTTTCACATATTGTTTAATAATCTTGGCTTCTTCTGAATCTTTGTCAACAACCTGCAAAGAGGTAAACAAGAAGTTTCTTTAGCATACAAACAAGCAGACTTCTTATGATGACATCCACCACATGCTTGCAACTCCTCAGTTTAAGCCTCCTTTATCATTTAGGCGGAAATTTATTCCCACCTAGAGAAGATATACAGGTATACAGACAGCATTAAATCACAGAATGTCCAAGATGGGAAGGCACCTCTGGAAACTATTTCCAACTCCCCTGCTCAAAGCAGGATCAGCTGGAGAAGGCTGCCAAGGGCTGAGTCCAGTCAGGCTTTCAACACCTCCACAAATGGAGCCTACCCAGCCTCTCTGGGCAACTTTTTCCAGCATTTGACCACCCTCACAGTAAACAAACAAACAGAAAAACCCAAACCAAACACCATTAACAACAAAAGGTTTTCCTTTTGTTTAAATACAGTTTCCTGTATTTCAATTTGTGCCCATTGCCTTTCGTCACTGGATACCACTGAGAAGAGTCTGTCTGTCTTCTTTACTCCCTGCCCCCATCAGGTATTCACAGACATTGGTAAGATAACCACCGAGCCTCCTTTTCTCCAGGTTAAAAAGTCCCAGCTCTTTCAGCCTCTCCTTGTACAACACATGCTCCAGTTCCTTAACCATCTCAGTGGCCCCTCATTAAACTCATGCCAATACATCTGCCCACTCACAGTTTAGGTGATTCGTTATACTCCAAACTAACAGGACATCAGCCTGTATTCACAGCCACTCATTTCCTTTACCTTAATGTCGGTTCGAAGTTTTTCATAGTTGATGTCAATTGGGTCTTTATCTCCATCTTCATTTCCACCTCTGAGAAGGCTATAAGCAACCTCAATATCAAGCAAGTTGTCCAACATCTGCACTTTAGCCTGAGGAATTTAAAAAGGTTATTTTACTTGTGCCTTTGACATGTTCAGAATAACTCTGGAATATGCCAAATTATAAAAGTATATGTGAATCACTGGCCACACACTGGTATCTAACAACACACCAACATTGCCTTTTCTTTTAAAAAAAAAAAATATACTTAAATACACCAATACACACACATATCTATATAAAAGTAGACCATAATATCTAACATGGACATCTTCTAATACCTTATATATTAATATTTGTATATGTATACACACATATATGCACATAAACAAACAAACAAAAATATATTGTGAAGAAAAATAAGTTTAACCTCCTGCTTTCATAAGGTTAAAGTAAGATTTAAAACCTCACAAATTCTCTGCGTTAGATGTCTGGTATCAGACCTGTTGCCTGCAAGCAACATACTGTTTCCAGTCAATACCTGAATGTATTCCAAGTTATTTAAGAGAGGTGGTTTCTTCATCCCAAAGTCATGAGGAATCAGAGTATAGAAGCGGTTGGAGAGGTCCAAGATCTGGGATTCTGAACCACTGTCAGAAACTGCCTAGACAAGACAACAACCACGAAAAAAAATTACCGAGTAAGATTAAGTCTCCATAGCGATAGACACACACAAGATTCTTGAGGACTATACACAGAGGCAGCAGGGCAAATAGTGTCAATGTTGAAACTCTCACAGAACTAAAAAGGGCAATTCTATTTAATTGTTTTGCATGTAGTGAGTCACAGCACTTGCACAGAAATACACAGAATTTCTGGTATGAGAAAAACGTAATGAGGATTATGTTTCTGGAAGGCAAAATAAAGGCTTCTAGATATGGAAGGGATGCATGTCCTTGGCAAGGTTCTGGTCAACTCTAACAATTTAAATAAAACCTCCTGTATCTATACTTCGTCAGGGAGCACATGACAAAAAAAAAAAAAAAAAGGGGGTATGCAGGTACACTTTTGCAAGCTGATCAGGCAATACTATGTAGTGATTCTTGGAACTGTCCCGATCACAATGTGTGAATACAGTAATGTCATCAAGCCAGGCCTTTTCCTGTGTCAACTTAACTTTTATTCTCACCCTCAAACAGACTTTTCTGGGGTGGAAACACCAGCTTGCTACCAGATCAAGACATTGGCCTCATTTGCTCAACTGCCATTTATGTCTGGCTCAGCCTGAAGTTTGTGCTACAAAAGTGTGAAAGGTACAAGTACTGCCCAAACAGGTACAGCAGTGAAGAGACCTAACTAGTCACCTGTGAAGCCACATCCTCTTCTCCAGCAAGAGAGAACACAGATCTTTATACACACAGCTCAGCATTCACCCCACTCCAAACCCAGAACAACTTCCGAATTCCCCTCCTGCTCCAACACCTCTTTCATGCT